CGACTCCACGGCACATAACAAACAACAACAACAGAGCTGGCGGCCAGGAGGCAGGCTTGCAGAATGTGCCCTATGGTGGTTTAAATTATTATACATGCCTGACTGTTAAAAAAAAAAAAAAAAGAGCTAAAATGAATAGAGAGAAATACTGTTAACCGATGGTACATAGATGGGATTATAATCATTGTAATGAAACAAAGTATATGATTTGTTGAATGTAAAACAGATGATATGCCCTATAAACCTTCATTCAATTCACAATAAAAACTTTTTTTAAAAAAAGTAAGCTTTGGGATTTTAAAATGGTGCCTGGCAGGACTCCTTAAAGACCAGCAGACTGTCTTACCACTAAGCCAGAAGAGATCCATTTTGAACCTCTTACATATTTCTGAAGCCTTCTTTGAACAATTCGGTTTCACACTGTCTTCTTTCCTCTCCTGGTCAGATAGGTTACTAACCTGCAAAGAGATCTATTAGTGCCTAAACACCTCTTCTGCTTTAATCTGATTTATTTAGCACTTAGAACTGCGTGATGGAAAGATTTGGTGACTCGTTTGAGATACACATACATGAACAGGGACATCCACTATTCTAGAGTTCCAATTTTTATGGGAACCCACTGCCTTCAAGTCAATTCCAACTCACAGTGACCCTATAAACAAAGTTGAACTGCGCCAGAGGGTTTCCAAGGCTATAAATGTTTGCAGAAGCAGACTGTCATATCTTTGTCCCACAGAGCATCTGATAGGTTTCAACCGCCTACCTTTCAGTTAGCAGCCAAGCGCTTTTAACCACTGCACCACCAGATTGGTGGTGGTGGTTATATGCTGTGGAGTCAATTCGGACTCCAATTTTAATGGAGTATGTTTTTAATTTGATGACAGACTGGATTTACCCCTGAGTTTCTGTCTGCTCTGTTCATCAGGAATTCCGATGCTGAAGATAGTGTTTGCAGGCCATGAGCATCTCTCTTTAATATCCGTGCCCTTGCTCATCTATCACCCAGCGCAGATCCTTCTGGGAAGCGTGCTGGTGCCAACAATCAAGTCTTGGATGGTGTCAAGGCAAAAGGTAAGACTAGAAAGATTTTATTTGAATCCTAATTGGATTGACATGCTAACCTTGAATCTTACGTGTTTGCACACTAGCTGTTGTTAGCACCTCCTCATCCTTGTATAATTATTTTCTTAGCTAAATACAATAATACATCCATTTCAGTTGGAAGAGGAGGGTGAAAACGAGTGTTTGAAAACATTATAAAAGTGTAATTGTACTTAAATTTCAGGTTTAAATGGTTCCTACTGAAGGGCATGGGTAGAGTATCCCTCCCCTCTAGTGCACCCTGGATCTGTCCCACCGCATCTTTCCTAAGTGTCCTGAGTCCACTTACCCTTCTAAACACCGCAAAACCTGGCTCTATCTAGAAGTCCTACTTTGTTTTTAATCTTCTAAGCACACAATTCTTGCTTTGTTTCTAATTTTCCAGATACGTAACAACTTCTTTTCAAAGGAAAATTATGTGGTTGGTGTTAAAAATAAAACTTAAGTGGCAAAGGAGCCCACTCGATTTTAATGTCATCACACTGAGTTCAGGGCCTTTTGCATCATAGATATTTGTGAATTCAGTTTGCTAAATTATCAACCAGATTGGAAGCAGGTGATTCACAAGAAGCTGAGCTGAAGCCCATGCTACCACAGCACTGACAGAGGGCTTGTTTCTGTACATGAAGTAGTCGTTACCCAGCAATTGTTAGAAGAAGAGATATCCCATGTCAAATGGCCTGTGTCGTGTCCTTAAGACCAAATCCTCTGCTATCAAGTCGATTCCAACACACAGTAACCCTATATAAGGTTTCCCAGATCTTTACAGGAGCAGAAATGCCTACTTTACTGTTAGCAGTCTAAATGTTTAACCCACTCCACCACCACCTGTTGTTAGGTGCCATCGAGTTGATAATGACTCATAGCAACCTTATGCACAACAGAACAAAACACTGCCTGGTCCTGGGCCAACTTCACAATTATTGCTACGTTTGAGCCCATTGCTGTGCCAATCCATCTAGTTGGGGACGTTCCTCTTTTTCTCTGACTCTCCACTTTACCAAGCAAGATATCTTTCTCCGGGGACAGGTCCCTATTGTCAGCTGAATAGCACTGTGTGTGCTAAGTAGCGTCCATGCACTAGCTGGCTCAGCGTATGGACTCCTGAGTTAGCCAACACTTTCTCACTGTGTGACTTTGGGCACATGCTACTTTATGTCTCTGTACTCCGATTTTGCCACCCTAAGAATATTAATATCTGGACCCTTGTTGTTGTTGTTGTTAATGCCATCGAGTTGGTTCCGACTCATAGCAATCCTGTATAGGATTTCCAAGGAGCTTGAATTGCCGATCCAAGAATTGTAGAATTTTACATGGCAGATGTTTAATAAAAGTCAACTGCCAAAATTATTCATTGTTTTATCTAGGACACTGTTAATAGCAGGCTGTTTTATTACCATTTTGCAGATTAGGCAATAGATTCAGAGACTTGAGCATCTTGCCCAAAGTTATGTGGTAGGTTAGTCAGTGGAAGAAGCTTGAACAAATCAGTCTTGGAGAAGATGGAGTCAGAATGCTTCTTAGAAGCAAGACAGTGAGACTTCCTCTTACTTAATTTGGGCGTGTCATCAGAAAACACCGGTCACTGGGAAAGGACATCATGTGTGGTAAAGTAGAGGGTCAGCGAAACTAAGGGAAACCCGCAATGAGATGGATCGATGTGGTGGCTTCAACAATGGGCTCAAGCATAGTAACAATTGTGAGGATGGTACAGGACAGGCAGTGTTTTGTTCTGTCATATATAAAGTCTGCATACATCAGAGCTGTTTTGATGGCAACTATCAACAATAACAAAAGTTACAACTTGAATCTGAGTTGCTTTGACCCCTAAAATCTTGGCTCAGCACCACAGTGGCATTCGAGACCAAAACACATAACACTTTTAGAATGAATATTCTAGACCACCAGGAGTTGACTGTAGACGTTTAGCCCACCCAGCACCTTCACTTATTTAATTGTTTAACAAAGTATTGCTGTTGTTGTTAATTACCATCGAGTGGACTCTGACTCATATCAACCCTATATAAGGTTTCCGAGGAGCAGCTGGTGGATTTGAACAACCAACCTTGTGGTTAGTAGTCCAGAACTTATCCTACAGCACCACAGTGATTACGATTTTCTGATGGAAAGAGACCTGGTGGCACATTGGGTTAAGTGCTGGACTCTAACTAAAAGATTGGCAGTTCAAACCCACCAGTTCCTTCAAGGGACTAAAAAGAGGCAGCCTGCTTCAATAAAGATTTACAACCTTGAAACCCCTATGGAACAGTGCTACTGTACAACAGTGGGTCTGGGTTTTTTATTTTTAAATTCCCTGCTGTGTTCTACTACAGGCTCTGGGTCTCATATTGTTATTGTTTTTAAGTGCCATTGAGTTGATTCTGGCTCATAGCGACCAAAGGAGCAATTGTTCATTACTTTTTAAAAAATGCTTACCATTTATCCCTTTTGGAGACTAAAAAGAATGCTTTCATTTATTTTTATGTTTATCAGCATATACAAGGAGGCTTCAAAAATGATAATGGAATCTTACGTGAGCTTTTTGAAGCCCCCGTGTATGTGTACTGTGGGTTCGAATTTGTACATATAAATTTTGGCATAGAATGAAGAAAAGTATTTGAAAATCATAACATACAACCATAGTGAACAACAAGCAGTTAACCAGAGTGAATTTTTCTTCTCAATGTTTAAAAGCTTTGGCATTTACTCTAAAGTGAAAGAAGCATTTCCAAAAGGGAGACTGAATTGGTCAGTGTTGGTCTGTTTCCCTTCACTACTCCAAACTAGGGTGCCAGTGGGTAAACTGCAATAAGCCAGAGGCCGGGGATATTTATCTGTTCCTTTTGACCCCTAAATGAGTACAAAGAGTCATTCCTCAGAGCCTCTAGGAACACATTCTCTGCTTTGCAGACAGTATTGATTGAAACCCAAAGCCACCATCTAGATGTGGAGTGCCCAGCTGGATGTGGAGGTTTTGATTACCAGTCATAGAATGTTATGTGGGCTTCCTCTTCCATCTAGTAGCATAAATTCTCTGGTGTTAATTGATGCTCAGAGTTTGCTCTGGATACTGTCCAACTCTGAACACTCTGTTTTCCTTTCTTGCAGGGAGTGAAGTTGACGAGGCCACCGGTATAACGAACGAGGTGTTCTTTGTGCAGCGATGTATATATGTACAGGCTTGGACATACGAGTGGTTCTGAAGACTTGTTCTTGTGAATGTTGCTTCAATGCATATTTTATTTTTTTACACAAAAAAATATACCTGCCTAAGTGCCTTAAAATGCATTTGATAAGCATTATTCCCAAAGCCTACTATGGGTTACTGCCAAGAGTAGTACAAAGTTTTGGAGTTATTTTTTTTTTCCTCTCCTTAATGCAGTGAACAGTCATAGGAAGTGACGGAAAAAGTAACATAATTTCTTTGCACCACATGTTGTGCAATACCACTCTGTAATCGTTACTATACTGCTTCAAATGAGGTCACACCATCAGGAAAATGTCCTACTGATGACAATGAAATGTTCCAAAGCCTTAGTCATGAAAACGTTGATTTGCTGTGTTGAATCTTTGTTGTTTTTTTACAACAGCCACATGCCTCTTTCTTATCAACTCTGCAGGGGTCAGAGATGGACTAGATGCTGAAAAGTTATCTTCATTCCTTGACATCATTCCTTCAAATAGTTTCCAAGTTATCTTCCTTCCTTGACATCATTCCTTCGAATAGTTTCCGCATGGAAATTCCTCAATTCCATTATAAGAGATTGGGCTGTTTCACATTTCTTATAAGGTGCTTCAAAGAAAGGGTCTGATGTTTGAGTTATGAGTAAAATAAGCAAAGTTTTGAGGTAAACTGCAGGATTTGGCTTACGGGGCTTAAAAAATTATATTTCAACATGCTCTTTTCTGTCCCCCATCATTTTGTTTTCTTCATTTGCCAACACATAGCTTGCAAGCTCCTAACAGTCAAATGCACAACACAGAATTGTTACAATCAGTTTTAAAGCAGCAACAATTAAAGATGGATTATGTTCACATTTATCACTATGACCTTTTTTTTTTTTTTTTCCTGTTTACAAGGGTGTGCTGAGCACTTTCCAAATTTTCTTTTTTTACCTAGCTGTATGCAGCCTGTTACATCCTTGAGCTAATCTTACATGTAAGGCATCCGAGACCATTTTTTTAAATGAGAATTTCCTTGGTAGATTTGATAACCAATGTTTGCAACATTTTACAAATGAAATCATATTGATTGCTCTTATGACTCAATGAAAACATGAAGGTCATGGATGCAAGCACATGTTACATATATACATTCTGCCTGGCCAGATAGAAAGGAAAACAGGAACAGATATGTAAAACCATTCATTAGCCAAAATATTAAGTAAAATTAGCTCCCAAGTGGAATATATCCAATATTTTCCACTACAGTGACTGGCAGAGCTTTAACTAGACAAAATAGACACTTTTCCCAGCTTCCTGCATACCTTTCTGCCACTTCCCGCTTCCACACCCTTTCTTGGTTCGTCGGATGACACTGCATCTTGGGTCTTACTGAGGCTGCTGGTTATTATTGTTACTGTTGGCACACAACAACAAATCATTCCTTAGAAATGAAGAGTGTGAATTTTATACTATTGTTACTGCCAGGTCTTGTCTTTTTGTTACTTTGGACTCATTTAAATATCACAGAACCTCATAAATGTCACAGGCATTATCTTCAGTGTAAATTTTAAAGCTAATACCAGACAGCGCAAAAACCTGTACTAAACAAGTTATAGATGCCCTGTTGTTAAGAGTTTCACGTGTGTCTTAACTGCAGTAGTTTTGCTAGATACTTTGATGCTTCTGTGTGGTGCATAGAAAGCTTCTCCTGTTTCATTTCTATAAGCTTCTTTAAAAAATTTTCAGAGGGGAAATGTCTAATTATCTGTCTATCTGGGCTATCATAAAAATCCTCTCTCCCTAGCATTGGAACACTGATTCCCGCCCACCTCCAACTGATCTACCTCTATTGTCTAACACCTATAGTAGGTGTGATTATGGGATACAATTCAACTGTAAAAGCTATGATATATTTTATCCTTTGTTTAACAAATAAATGTTTTGTTTTCCAATGATCTTATTTGCATAGAGAATTCTGGTGGCTTTAGTGCCATGTTCTTCTATTGTATTGTTTTTTTTCCAACAGAAATGCCGTGGCGTATTTTTCCATAAAGGGTAAAAACTAAAATACGAATTTATTTCTAATTCTGGCTTACTGGGACTTAATCATTCATATCTTTAGATACTTTTAATGTTTATGCACTGTCATGCTATTTTTGCACCTGGAATTTCTTTTTTATATGGTTGTTATAAAATTTGATTTTTTAATGGTCATAATGTTGATCTTTTCACGTGTTCTTTCTAAGTTTTTACCTTTTGCACATCTTTGTTTGTTGTAATTCTTCCCGACTCTGTTTAAAATAACATGCCTCTGGGTAATGTTCAGTGCTTGTTTATGCTAAATACCAAATTTTTTTGAGAGGACTGGTGAAGTAATGAAGCAGATTATTTATGATGAATGGAAGATGAAAATAATTCAATGATTAAACAAAGATGTTTCAGAACTCTGAAAGAAAACTGTGCCTTATTTTTATCCTGATATCAGATGTACTCAAAATACCTTCCAAGTGACT